ATTCCAACTAGGTTGACATCTACTCATTTTTTTATCATTTACATTACTCTACTATTTAAAACTTGTGTGCTTAATACATGAAAAATAAAATAATACATTATTTATAGTATCTAAATTTTTAAAACTTCAAATTTCGACATTGGACAACTTATTTCAAAGTTTTAAATTTAATAATTTAAAAGTATAATTTTTTTTTCAAATGAATGGTGGACGAGTTGAGCTTGGCAGGCGTGCTTGATGAGCGGGCTCTTAGGTTGGATAATAGATTTAGGGGTAAACTCAATCTCTTTTTTTTAAGGATATTGGGCTCGAGCAAGCCAACTATCGGCCCTATCGAATTTCAGAATAACTTTTTTGGGACTGGATAATAGAATCCGTGGATAACCCTGTCCATGAACACCCTACTTGTATTGTGGGTTTAAATACCACCTATATGTACTTTTGACTTCTTTCTTTTCAATCTTCATTTTTCTATTCTCTTTTTCCGATAGGAAAGAAAAGAAACAATTCTCAAGAAATCCTATTTTTTCGCTAAACAATCGGTCCTATTAATTTTCTAACTAGACAATGTAGTTTTATTCAATAAACGCAATTGCAATATTCCTTTATGCCATCTAGGGATGGTAGTGGAACTTGCAAAACTGAAAATTCATTCAAACTCGTTTTGTTTGGATCGGGAATAGACCATCATATTAGATGGTGAATGTATAAAAAAATATCTGTATAAATTTGTATTGGAATAGAGTAACACTTACTCCCGCTCCTCCCCGCCCCTCCTCTCCTTGTTCTCGCTAAACCCGTTATTTTTTTATATAAATATACATATACTCTTACCACAACCCTAAATCTAATTCTCTCTCTCTCTACTCGCTTGCTGCTTTCTCTCACTCAGCCTACCTTCCACCAAGGAGACGCCACTGACCAGGTAACGCCCTCTCTCTCTCTCTCTCTCCCCCTACCTTCTTTTTATGCTTTAATTTGGCCGCTTTGTTGTAGGAATATTGGTTTTGCTTATACCATATAAAAATTTTCAGGCATGGTGAATTCTACTTTGGGTTTTTTAGTAATCCAAAGTATGGGTTTTTGGGATTTTGTGGGTGTTCTTAGTTTTGTTATAATTAAGATTTTTTTTCATCGTTGTTCGATTAGGTGCAATTTGTAATTAATTATCAACTAATATGTGCATTTTACCGTTAGTTAAACCTTAAAACCTATTTGCTTATTTATTTGACATTAAAAATTCTAATAGTCTTACGTGAAGGAATAAAGATAATGGTTGTCATAAAGTGTTTTTGATAGAGTTAGTTGGAATTCTACTGGCCTATAAACTATATTCGTAGAAACATATTTTTTGTTGGATCATTGTAAATCTTAAGTTTTTCATCCGAATTTATCTGGCAGGATGCAGTTATATTATACAATTATGTTGGATTATATAAAATGATAAATTATATTGGGCTTTGACGGGGGCAGGGATTAAAATTTACCTATGAACGAGAATGGGGATGAAAATTAGTCCTGTTAGTGAGATGGACCGGGGATGGACGAACTTTTTTAAGTGAGTACGGGGTGAAGACTACTCACCCTGCCTCCGCCCCGCTGGCATCCTTTTTTATATTACAAAGCACTCAAAATTAAAGTCTATTTTGTTAGTCAAAATTCATTTATGAAACGAACGAGCAAATGACTTGAAGAATAGTAGTCTATTTTGTTATTAACAAAGCTGCCTCGAGCTGTTTGGTCCAAGAAGCCCAAGTTGTCAATCTAATAAATCCCTTCTAATGTTTTGTTCAAACCACTTTTGGTTCAACCCCAGGTCCATTTCCTCTCTTGATGGTTGGCTGGGGCAAGACCAATTGACTCACTTGTGATTTGTTTGGCTGTCTCGAAATTGAAGGAAAGAATACTCAAAAGTATTATGACAGCCTGCCCAACAAAAGAGAAAAACTCGTGATCCACTGGTGATCTGTTTGACTTGATAGAAATTGAACAAAAGAAAACTCAAAATGTTACAAAAGCCAGACCAATTAAAGAAAGAAAGAAAAGAGAAAAAAAACAATGGATCAATAGTCATGCTATTGGGATTTCAAAATTGAGCAATGTTGCAAAATTTAAATAAAATCTAAAAAGTTGCGATTCAAATATATATAATCTTTTAGATAAGTGGGTCCTATCAATTTTTTTAGTAGGACCCACTCATCCCACATTCAGAGATAATATGTATTTGAATTTTAACTTTTAAATTTCATTTGAGTTATGTAACATTTTTCTTAAATATTTGACATGATTTATTGACTTAATGACATGTTAAATGATGAAGCTCTAATAAATAAGTCCAACAATTATAGTTACAGCTAAGCTATGGTAAGGGACTATATCATTGTCATATCATTCAATCAACAAATTAAATCAATTTTTTTTTATGTAAGAATAACATTACTTTGTTTACAAGATCGGCATTTGTTACTTAAATTTCCAAAAGCTAGGACGACTGCTTGTCCCTAAAGGACTAGAACTATGGAGTGGTAACTTTGACACGTTGGTACGATCATAATTAATTATCCAGCACTCCAAAACAAGATACATAGATACGAATACTAAACAATTTGTGTTATTATTTGACTAGTTTAACTCGATTTTGACATGATAAACTTATTTAATGTAAACACACAAACTACTATTGAGCTTCTTTTATAGACTAGCTATCTCCGCAATCTATGCCAATTGAAATTTGGATAGTTGCAAAAGCAAGCGTGGAGGATATGTTTGCCTTTTCATTTCTTGATTTGGTTTTTTATGAATCGACAACTAAATAAATCTTATTAAGATTCAAGGTACTTTCCATTGCCAAGAGTTTGAAATATTATCATCCAAACATGGATTTATTGACTGCCAAAACTTGTGTCCCTTATATAAAGTGGTCTTACAAAGGCCATGTCTGCAAAGCCAAAGGACCTTATTGATAAAACCAAGGTTATCTTCTCAAAATGGACTATATTGGCATTTTTTTAAATGGACAAAGTTTCCACCTCTTAACAAATATACTTTACACAAGGAAAGACAGTCTAGTTGTTCAATTCGATCCCTAGTAATGTTAGTAGACCTAATATAAAGATTTAATTGAGTTATTGGCCTAATCAATTATTGTTATTAGATTGTCGATTGACTTTAATTTTAACTACGACACTGTCAACTCAAGAGCACTAACTATATAATAGGACTTCTAACCAACTCGGCTTAACTGACTTGGTCACTCTAATTCTCTTGGGATTCTGCAATTAGTGGGAGGTCTCTCTACTCTTTCGTGAGTGCTTTCTCATCCAGGTAAATGCATTATTCGAAGCCTACGAAAGTTGATGATTTATTTTTATAATGATAGTTGAAACACTATAAAATATTCACTCAAGAAAGATCTTATGATGAGAAGAACTAATTAGTTTCAAATTCACAATGCCGTGATAGATGTAAAAAATTGTGGTGGATTGCATTTAGTATCGGACGAAGTTTGAATAAAGAGAAAGTGGAATGATGGTCATCACTAGAACAGTGGAAGTTGCATTCTCATTCACTTTTTTGTGATTCCTTTACTAAAAGCAACAATGAGTTTCAATTTCATTGAAAATCTTTGTAGGAATCCCACGATCACCATTGATGCTCATCTAGCAGATTAAAAAAAATGGATCTACACCAAATTGTCAACACTTACACTGTTACACAACAAGGAAAGGTTTGCAGATATTCTTTCACTTTATGATGAGGTAGAGAGAGAGAGAGAGAGAGAGAGAGAGAGAGAGAG